TCGAAGAATGGATAAATAAAATGTGGTACATTTACACAATGGAGTACTATTCAGCGAGGGGGAAGGCGATGGAATCTTGAAATTCACAGGCAAATGGAACTAGAAGAAACCATCCTGAGTGAGGTAATACAGTCACAAAAAGACAAACATGGTATGTACTCACTCATATATGGCTTTTAGACATAGAACAAAGGATCACCAAACTATATTCCATACCACCAGAGAAGCTAGGAAACAAGGAGGACCCTAAGAAAGACATGCATGGTCCCCTGGAGAAGGGGAAAGGGACAAGATCTCCTGAGCAAATTGGGAGGGTGGGGGTGGAGGAGAAGAAGTTAGGAGAAAGAGAAGGGGAGAAGAGGAGGGAAAAGAACATGAGGGAGCAGGAAAATTGGGTCGGGGGAAGAATAGAAAAGAAAAAGAAAAGAGATACCATAATAGAGGGAGCCATTACAGGTTTAAAAAGAAATCTCATACTAAGCAAATGTCTAGAGACCTACAAGGATGACCCCAACTAACAATCTAAGCAATAATGGAGAGGCTACCTTAAACATCCTTCCACAATAATGAGATTGATGACTACATTATATGCCATTCTAGTGCCTTCATCCAGTAGCTGATGGAAGCAGAAGCAGACACCCACAGTAAACACTGAGCCAAACTCCTGGTATCCAGTTATAGAGAGGAGCCATGAGCAAAGGGGTCAAACCAGGCTGGAGAAACCCACAGAGACAGCTGACCTGAATAAGGGGGAGCTCATGGACCCCAGACTGATAGAACAGAAACCAGCATAAGACTGACCCAGACCTTCTGAATGTAGGTCTCAGGAGGCCTGGGAAGTATATGGTACCTCTGACAACTAGGATGTATCCATAGTGCAGGAAGGGACTCCAGGAGCCCTTTCCCAGGGGAGGGATACTCCCTTAGCCTAGAGACATGGTGGAGGGCCTAGGCCCTATCCCAAATGATTCGACAGACTTTGATGATCCCTCATTGAAGGCCTCACCCTCCCTGGGGAGTGGACAGGGGATAGGATGGAGGGGTTGGGGATTATGGGATGATGGGAGGCAGAGGGAACTGGGATCAATATGTAAAATAATAAAAAATACTAATTAAAAATTGAAATAAATTCTTCTAAAAGAAACACTCAGGGGCCTAGGTATAAGCAGAATACCCATCTAGTATGCGTGATGTCCCAGATTTCATCATCTGGCAGGCAGCACTACCAATGACTAAATAAAATTATTATTTCAGTACTTCATACATGTATATAATAGGTCTTTTATGTTAAATGGTTACTAGAAGAAATGTTAAGTCTCTTCAACCTTTGACTCTTGGTCCTGTGTTCTATATGTCCACCATGGTTTAAGCTGTCATGTCAGCCTTATGGGAAGATATTCTAGGGACACACACACACACACACATTTTCATATACCTTTAGAGGAAAGGACTTTGGGTGGGTGCTTAGAGGACTAGTTTTTGTTTGTTTTAATTAAATTGGATTTAATATACCAATATTTATAGATCAATCATTTGTTTTCATTGAAGCTTCCCAAAGCATTTAAAATTATAGTTGTCAGAAGGGATATTAAGATCTAGAAAGCCTATTTTCATGATAACAGTATATCAAATTACCGTTCCTCTAGCTATCTATGGTCTTCTTTTCAATATTTTTAAATGCAGTATCATTTTACAATAAATTATGTGGCCCCATCACATCTTTGTGGTAAATATTCTTCTCTGATAATGTCCTTTGTGCAAGAAGGTAGAATATAGAATAACTCTAAAGAGGATCTACAGAAGCCTGGAGGGGTGGTACATGTCTACAAGCCCAGAACTTGGGAGACAGAGGCAGGAGGATTGCTATGAGTTCTAAGGTCAGCTTGAGCTACATAACAAGAAACAATAAAATAAATGAAGAATATTTAAAAAGCCAGGCAAAGTGGCTCATATCTGTAACCCCAGCACTTGAGAGGCTGAGGCAGGAGTATTGCCACAAGTTCAGTGCCAGCCTGTACTTCATAGTGACTTCCAGGTCAGCCTGGGCCATAGAGAAAGATCCTGTATCAAAGCCAAAAGCAGACCATTAAAACAGGATCCAGAGAGTCAAGCGTCACAAAACCTTTCTCTAGCCTTGAGTTATGCCTGTAGTTAACATATGCTTATTTCTGTGGCTTCTTTTTAGCTTTACTTTCTGAGTTTCTTTGTTAAAACTTGTTTTTCCAAGTCAATATATGGGATAGTATATATCTTTCTACTCTTGGTCTATTTCCTTCTTGAGGACAAAGCATACAAGGAAGAGCTTAGGGGGAGCTACATCAAAGGAGGAGCTGGAATGATGGATTAGTGCTTGAGATTGTGTCCTATCCTTGCAGGGAACCAGAGAGCGCTCTAGCACTTGTCTTGGAACCATCTGTATTTCCAGCTCCATGTCAACCAACACCTTCCTGGCCTCTGTGGACACCTGCTCTCATGTGGTACATAAACAAATACATAGAATAAAAAAATAAATCTTTAGAATTGGTGAGGGAAAGGACGGTGACAACTCTTGGTTGTTGTAAAGTATTAGTTCTATCATGAGTACTATACCTATGCTTTTTTTTTTTCCTCATTTGATCCTCATACTTACACAAAGTACTTTTATCTTCATTTTATTTTTATTTTTAATTGTCTTATTTATTTTTGGTTTAATTAGACAGAGTCTTGTTATGTAATCTAGGCTGGCTTCAAACTCCTGATCTTTCTTGCCCAACCCTGTAAGAACTGAGATTACAAGTGTGTAACCCCCCCCCCTGCCCCGGCCAGTCTTATCCTCATTTTGAAGATGAGCAAACCAGCTGAGAAAGACTAGTGTACTCAAGTGTGTGGGTACTAGGAAGCAAGGCTAAATTTTGAACAAAGCCTCTGACTATAAAGCACTACTTTAAACAACAAGATAGGAGAGACAGCTATCAAAGTGCTCACCTTGTGTAATGGAGTGAAAAAGCAACCCACCTTAGGGTGCTCCCCAGGCTGGCTATCTAGGTGTGGGGTCTGCTGAGACCTCTGTGAGAGCATCCAAGAGGGGCTGATGCTTGAAGGATGCCGACACAATGCCTCTGATGAGCACAGCAGCAGGTGAGATGCCAAAATGAGAATTCTTGGGCTGACACTGTTGCTTCAGCTTTAATGAACAAAATTTCTTAAAGTCAATGACATTTTTTCAAGGACAGAAAGAGAGGTCATTCTTGGCTAGATTCAGTCCTTTTCCCTCATGAGCACTGCGGGATTCATGGGATGACTGTCCAGTAAGTAAGCAAAGGATCAAAAGTACACAAGATAAACTCCTAGAACTTGTTGGCATCTTCAAGGAGAACAGTGCCAGGAGTGGTAGATCAAGCTGAGATCGACACTTACCTTTGTATGTCACTGGAGCAAGAAACTGGGGCCTTGGACATGATCTATATACAGACTATGGTGTTTGAATGAAAATGGCCCCATAGATTAATGTTTGAATGCTTGGTCTCTAGTGGAACTGTTTGGGAAGGATTAGGGGTGTGGCCTTGTTGGAGGAGGTGAATAGGCTTTAAGGTTTCAAAAGCCCAAACTAGGGCCATTCAGTCTCTCTCTCTCTGATCAGAAGTGAGCTTTTAGCTCCAGCACCATGCTTCCTGGCCTGCCAGCATGTTCCCTGACATGATGATCATGAATCAGCCTTCTGAAACTGTAAGCAAGTCCTCAATTAAATGCAGCTCACAACTGTCTATAACTGTAGTCTCATGGGATCGGATGCCCTCTTCCCATATCCATATGCATAAAATATAAATTAACAGATCCTTTTTAAAAATAAGAATGAATAGCAGCAGACAGAAATAACATCATCAAATTGGGCACTGACAACATCCAGAAGAGATCAACTAGGGAAGTTGAGGCAGTCAGCTTTCTCTCCATGAGTGAGTGAACTTCCTATGACTGAACTTCCAACTTCTCCATGCCCCTCCCCAGCCTCTCTAAGACACAATGGGAGAGGGGAGGGAAGGGGGAGGAAAGGAGAAGGGGGAGGGGGAAGAGAGGGAGGGGTGAGGGAGGGGAGAGGGAAGGGTAAGGCGAGAGGAAGGGAGAGAGGAGAGGAAAGGAAAAGAATCTCCTTGTCTCGACAAGAGCAACTAAAGGTAAGAATTCTCAAAACTGATAGCGACAACTGGTCAAGCCAGAGTGGCAAGCAGTTTTATTTATTGCAGGCCTGGTCATAGGCCATAGAGAGAAATCAAGAGATGTTTTCCCTCCCACAGGAAGTACTCAATAAATCGGCGTTTTTGAAAGGTTGATAGATGAAAAAGAGAAATAAAAGCCTATTAAATGCCCAGGACATCAACTTTCCTTGTTATCTCCACCTTATGGCAACACATCTCCCTTTTAACAAAAGAATGGCTGTATTAATGAAGTGCAGAAGAGAGAAGAGCCTAACAACTTTGATATCAGAAACCAAAAACAACTAAATGGTTTCAATATAGAAACAAAACAATGTCTTGAAAGAAGTCCCATATACCTTAGAAAATCAAGGTTTGTTACATACAACTTCTGCTCAACTCATGCCTCTGATTAAAACAAAAAGGCAGCGAAGCCACCTAACAGATTTACAGCTTCCTCTGCACTGTTGGCTGTACATTCCACCTCTGGGGCCCTCACATTTCTCAAGTGTGTTAGAAATTGTTAAATAAAACAAACAAGCCTTAGTCCAAGCTTTGAGGTCGGCTAATTCCTGGTCTTGTACTTTGGCTTTGGGATATAGAGGGCTCTTTGAAGACAATCAACATACCACTCGGGCCTTGCTCAAGATGCATTCCTTTACACTGATTCTACCTTAAATAAATGGTTCGAATTAACAGCTTGGGATGGGGTTCGCCCTCTAGCGGAACCCAGGTTGTCTAGGAGCCCACCGGGAGAAAGAACTACAACTCCCAGGGTGCTCCGGGAAGGGCTGCCTTCTCCCCCAATTGGCCAACGGTGGGTGACGCTGAGTGTTTTGGCCCAACGGTCACATGTTTCCTTTGTTGTGAGCAGTGGCAGAGACTGGTGGCTCCGGGAGACACCGGCGCAGCAGAGACTGTGGGGTCGCCGCTCGTGCTACTTCCAGCCTGCGCCGAGAGGTACCTGGGTGGCTGCTCCGGGCAGCCCGCGGCCGCGGCGCTGACCACCGGCACCTGCGGGAGGGAGGCGAGGCCCCCGGCAGCCAGAAGCCCGGCGCGGCCTCGGCCGTGGGGACCGGGCGGGGACGAGCCCCGCGGCGGCGATGCGCTTCGGGCGGAAGCGTCCGGAGTGCTACGGGCTCGGATGTAGCGTTTCCGTGGGTGAGGGCGACCGTGGGGGCTGTCGCCGAGCACAGACAGGATCGCGGTGCTGGGGCCACAGCCGTCTGCCGTGCGGTTGCGAAACCTGCTAGGCGTGGTCACCTGACCGTTACCCGCCCCCTCCCTCAGAGCCTTTGTTTACCCGGAGCGAGGCCGCTGGCCGTCCCCGGGGAGCCCCCGCCCAGCCACCCGCTTCCTTCTCCGCCGGGTTCTGCTTCTTAATTTAGTTGCCAATGTTCCCGCCCCCAAGTCCCGGACACCCGAGGCGAAGACCGTTCGGGAGGCCGGGATTGGGCGCTGCAGGCAGGACCTGGCCAGCAAGTTCCGAGTTTTTATTGGCGGGGGCTGGTGGCTGGGTGGCCCGTGCCGCGCAGTCCCGCCCTCGCTTGAAGGTGACCTGGAGGACGCGGGCGCCGCGGGAGGGGGACAACAGTGGGGGGGGGGCGTGCCCCGCGGAGGGCAAGGCCTACCCGGAGCCCAAGGGCTTTGGGCACAAAGTGACAGGACAAAGCAGAGAAGTGCGTTATTGCCAGCTTGCCTTTGCCTGCTCTGCGCAGGCTTAGATTGTAAAGGCCACATTTGGGAAAGCCTCAGTGTCAGCTCTAGCGGATTCTTTTAGTTTTGTTCTAAATGGCACGCTAGTTTTTGCAGCTGACACCCAGCAAGTCCAGCAAGTAGTTGGTTGATAAGGGGTTGATTTTTTTTTTTTCTTTATTGGGTTTTAAAACTCTAACCCTTGTCACTTAAGATTTAAAAGATGACTTAAAAAAAAAAGATAATGTGAGGTTATTTGCTTAGAAGTTAAAGTTTTTGTTGTTGTTTTTGAGTGTACTTTCTTAGCCCTGTTTTCCAGTACACACGCTTTCGTGTATTAATCTTCCAGATAATTTAGAAGTTTCTGAGAATGGAATTGAAGGTATATTTTGGAAAACAAAATTAAGATGACTGACAGGTCGGTCATTTTCAGCCAGAGGATGTTAAAGGCCGTTTTCCCAAGCTCTTAAGTTTATGGGGCTCTTACGTTTTTGTCATTTTTATAGCAGAAGAAAAATGAGCTTCAGTGAATGAAGCAAGCAGGTCTTACTGGCTTACATTCTTAATAGCTTTTATAAAATAATTTATTTTTAAGTGCCTTTGTGTTTGCCTGCATGTATATCTCTATGAGGGTGCCAGATTCCTTGGAACTGGAATTCTAGACAGTTGTGAGCTGCCATGTGGGCTCTGGGAATTCAACCCAGGTCCTTTGGAAGAGCAGCTAGTGCTCTTAACCACCGAGTCATCTCTCCAGCACCTCTTAATAGATTTCTTTAAAGATGTATTTATTCCATGTTCAGTGCCAAAGGTGGCCCAAAGAGGGCATCAAATCTCCTGGAACTGGAATTGCAGATGGCTCAGGTTGTGATCTGCCTTTTGGGTGCAGAGCACCAAACCTGGGTTCTCTGCAAGAGCAACAGGTGCTCTTAACTGCTGAATCATCGCTCCAGCTCTGCTTAATATTAAAAATTCAAGTAATGATGGCTGTATCAGAAATAAGCAGCTGTCTGATGAAAACAGATAAGCACTAGTGTACTAAGGGTATTTAATAGATCTTAATATATATGAATGCTATCCACTATATTAAAAACTAACTACCATTTGCTAAGTTACATTTCTTCAAACTAAGCCTGTGACTTGTCTCTAGACAGGAAGAAGAAAATAATATTATAAGAGTTATCAGTTCTATCTTAGACTTTACTGGCTTTTATCCAAGTTACTAAAACCTTAATGCTTTTTCAGTGTGCTTTTTAACTTCCTTGTTTTCCTGCCATTTCATTAAGATTCAAAGGTCAAGCCTTTTGAAGATAAACACTTAGCAAATACATTGCAGCGTTTATCCTTGTATCCACTTTGCTCTTACCTTGACAATTTAAGACAACTCTTTTCATCAAGTATATAAGTATGGACTCTATAATAAAAAATGTCAATAAAATGTTCTCAAAATCATTCATACAAAAACATTTCATTTCTGTTGTGACTGCAGCAATGACACTGGGCAGTTGCATGTTTTAACGTCTCTGTTCTTCATGCTGTAAAACCCCTGATAGCTCAATAAAGTGAGTTAGTTCCCTGTGGGTAGTTCCAGTTATTTGGGAGGCTGAAGCAAGAGGACCAGCCTGGACAACATAGACATCATGGGTAGGGGCAACAACAGAAAATCTAATAAATGTGGAGTTGTAACTTTTCCATCACACCCTCCCCACTCCCCGTTGAGACTGAGGATTAGACTTCTAACATGCTAGCCACTGACTTCTCTCTAGTTGGCTAGTCATCTTGGAGGTCATGCATGTGAGTCCAGCAGGGGGACCTAGAGTTTGTGCCAAACCTGGAATACACAAGGAGACCCCCATCTCCAAACAAAGTCATTAGATTTTTGTTGGAATTCCTAAAATTATTTCTGAATAATGTGTGTAGTACTAAGTTAAATAAAAATCATTGACTTCCAAGTGTTATTGTATATTAAAAGATCATTTAGGATTCAAGGCAACACCATAGCTACTTTAGTTGTAATAAGCCAAAACTGATTTTGATAGTAAGAAAATTATCAAAGTTCTGTTTCTCCCGCCCATTCATGACAGGATCTTGTTTTGTAGCTATAGCTAGCCTGGTACTTGCTGTGTAGCTCATAATAGCCTCTGATTCACAGTGATCCTCCTACCTCAGCTTCTGGAGTTCTGGGATTACAAGTGTTAACTCTCCTAACTTTGCCAGGGCTTTCATTTTTAAATAAAGATGCAAACAGTATTGAAGGGATGACTAACAAAATGATATTGTTTCCATGTCAGGTCCAGTGAGGAGCCTAAGTTAGGCACAGCTTTTTAGACAGTGAAAACACCTGAAATTTATATATAGTTGTAAAACTTAACATTCTCACATAAGTGTGAAATTGATATAGATGTGTAAAAGCCTGCTTGGTTTAGCCTAGTACTGTGTAAAGGATTTAGGCTGTTGGGAGCATTTGCTAACATCCTTTTGCATTGCCATTAAGTCTTTAAAGGTAGCTCTCAGCTGCCCTTCCTTGTTTCTGCTTTTATCCATGGTTGGTTTGAGAAAATGTGATGTGGAATGTGATTGCATGGATGGTTGGCAAGCTGTAGGGACTATACTAGTAGAGCACCAATAGCTGCTTGTTCTCCGGTCTTTGGGAGGCCTTAGTAGGTCTGTACCAACTGTCTGTAACCTCTTTGTAGAGGATTCTTAAGGGAAGCTTGCTGTGTTGCCACACAGTAATCACCCCTTATACAGCTCCTCCAGACTTCATACCTTGACCACCCTGCCCCTTGCCCTTTGCTTGTTTGGATGTTCAGGGTTACCTAACTGGGCATAATGGTACCTGTGATCCCAGAGACAGACAGATCTCTGTAAATTTTAGGCCAGCCTGGTCTACATAGTGAGTTACAGGCCAGCCAGGGCTACATGAAGTAACCCTGTCTCAGAGGTAGGACCTAGGCCCTACCCCAAATGACTTGACAGATATTGATGGTCCCTCCTGGACGGCCTCACCCTCCCTGGGGAGGGGATGGGGGGGCATGGGAAGATGGGAGGGAGAGGGAACTGGGATCAATATGTAAAATAAGAAATAATAATAAAAGAAACCCTGTCTCAAACAACAAAATATCAATTTTAAAAAAAGAAAAAAGCTCTCGTATTACCTAAAAGTCCTGCAGAAAATGCTGGATGTGTTGTTTTCTACTTGAGATGGTATAATTCTACACTAAACAAATCATGAGAGGCTCTATTCCAATTTGTACTTGAGTTCTACTAGAAAACTGCAAAGAATTTGGACTCAAATTAGTGTTGGAGTTTTTATTTGATTCTAATGTTAGCCAGTCCTATAGTATCTTAAAATTGAATTTGAATCTATCATTTGCTACCCTGGTGTCAGACACGAATAGGACTCTCTTTCCTTGGTTTGGGCCTTACTAAGTACTAGTAAAGAATACTGCTTAGTAGGACTAACCATCCCCTAACTTGACCAAGATGCAATATTCTTTTTCTTCGTTGTTTTTTGTTTGTTTGTTTGTTTTGTTTTGTTTTTGAGACAGGGTTCCTCTGTATTGCTTTGGAGCCTGTCCTGGGACTCACTCTGTAGACCAGGCTGGCCTTGAACTCACAAAGAACTGTCTGGTCTGCCTCTTCCTCCCGAGTTATGGGATTAAAGGTGTATGCCATCAATGCCTGGCAAGAGGCAATATTTAAGTGCACCCACAAATTAGACTTCCTAATGAAAGTAGGGAAACACACAAGATAGTATTCATGTCCTAACCATCATACGGTAGTCTGGGTATAAAGATGTGATTGCATATTTTTTAAGTTGGTTATTTATATTTGGTTTTTATATCAAGTCTGCCAAAACTTAAGAATTTACAAGTTCACATTATGGATGACTTCACAACTCTAAATCCATCTCCTGCACGGATAGGGTGTTGGTGGTATAGTGGTGAGCACAGCTGCCTTCCATCTCCTGCATGTGTGCGTGTGTACACACACGCGCGCACACACACACACACACATGCACACCACGCTGAAGGGAGGTTGTGTTGAATTAATTGTTGTGTAGACATTAACTCTGTAAGGTTCAATAAAGCAGAAGAAATAGCTTGAAGATTCTATATAAAAATGTATATGACAAAAGCTTAAAAATAGGTGGGTTTTCTTTTTCCTTTATTCCCATGTCATAACTTAAGAGTTTTCACAAATTGATTCCATGGTTATATGTAGTACATGGTGAATAAACTGTGTACTTTGGTCATGTTGACACCTCAACTCTTAAAGTGACTTAAATTCCATCAAATATGAATGAAATGTAAAATTCATTAAATATTCAAACTGGAATTATCACAGGGTATACATTTCTTCATCTCATTATCAAATATAGCTTACTATTACATGAGTAGGAAATTTGAATATAATTGAATATGAAATTATTAATTTGCTTTAAGAAAGTGTTACTATTGATGATGTATATGAAAATGAACTTTCAGTTAGGAACTGGAACTTACTAAGGACTGTTTTCAGCATATTACTAATGTACTTGAACTGACAGTGTCTGATTTATGTCACTGCTCTGTTTTAGGTGTGGAAATTTAAATAACACGAATACTTTGCCTGGGGCTTTAGTCAAGCAAATGCTGAGAAGGTATGTTTATTAGCTATTACATATTGTCATTAGATAATTTAAACCATTTTATTTCTTTAACTTGGGATCATTTGGTACCATTCAGAATAATAGTGAATAACAATGACCAGTTCTTTTTTTTTTTTTTCATTTTCTTCTTTTGGTTTTTCGAGACAAGACTTTACTTTGTAGACCAGGCTGGCCTCAAACTCACAGATATCTCCCTTCCTCTGCCTCCCAAGTGCTGGGATTGAAAACGTTTGCCACCTCCACCAGGCCAGATCAGTTCTGTCTTAGGACAGAATTGGGCTGAGTGTGGTGAGGCACACTTGCAATCCCAACATTTAGGGCCTGGTACATTTTTAACTATTGCTAATTTATTTGTAAAAAGTAAATAAGTAAGCCAGTAGTGATGGCAAACGCCTTTAATCCCAGCACTTGGAACACAAAGACAGGCGGACCTCCATGAGTTCTAGGACAGCCAGGACCATTACACAGAGAAACTCTGTCTTGAAAAACCAAAACTAAATAAATAAAAATAAACAAGTAAATACTTCATTTGTAAAAAATGTGAAATCAAAGGCTGGTTGATTATATATGGAAGACTGAAAGTTAAACTATGAAAGAATATTTTATTTTAAGATGACTCTGTAAAGCCAGGCATTGGTAGCACACGCCTTTAGTTCCAGCATTTAGGGAGCAGAGGCAGGCAGATCTCTGTGAGTTCGAGACCAGCCTGGTATATAAGAGTTAGTTCCAGGACAGCCTCCAAAGTCACAAAGAAACCCTGTCTTGAAAAACCAAAAAAAAAAAAAAACAACAAAACCAAGATGACTCTGTGCAAATCATTTACTCTGTGGTAAATAGTAAGAGTTTGTATTTGGTTCTGTTGTGGAAGGCTGGTTAATAAATAGAGTTTTCTTAGAAAGTCCAAAGATAGCAAGTTTTAATCAACCTCTGTGTCCCCAACTTTACCTAATACTCCATACATTGCACTAGCTACAGAAAACTATTCCTTGTTTTCCTCTAGGTGTCAAGGAATGGCCAGTGTGTGTGGGGTCAGTGAACTCTGGTCGATGAGGAGTTGAGAGTCGCAGCTCTCAACTTTCCAATGCTACAACACTTTAATACTGTTCCTTATGTTGTGGTGACTCCAACCATAAAATTATTCCATTGCTCCTTCATAAGTGTAATTTTGCTACTGTTATGAATCATAATGTAAATATCTGATGTGTGACCCCACAGGGGTCATGACCCACAGATTGAGAACTGCTAGCTAAGAGAGAGGGTGATTTTTGTCTTTGTGGCTTAGAGAGAGGGTAGTTTTGCTCTTGTTGGCTGGCTAATTGGTTTGGTTGACTCATTTTGAGTTTTTAGACAGTATATCTCTGTGTCAGTCAGCCTGGTCTCAGACCTGCAGCCCTCGTCCTGTCTCAGTCTCTTGAGTGCTGAAATTGTAAGCATACTTTGCCATGCTAAGCTTAAACAGGTTTTTATTGTCCGCACCAGTAATTATATAAACTGATCAAAGTCTCAGTGGATTATATGAATTTTTTGAGCCTGAAATATAGTGGTAGTGGAGGAGGAGGATGATAGACTAGGTGAACTGATACAAAGAATAAATTCTTGAGTTCCTAAATTCTTGATATGGGAAAGTGGCTTTTATCTAATTCAGTCATGTAGTAGAATAGTAAAGATTCAAATATGAATTCCTTCCCATGTCATAGCCATTTCTATCTGTTTGTATGTGTGTTTGAGACAGGGTCTCAGGTATTCCAGGCTGGCCTAGAACTCACTCCTAACAGTCTCAGTCTCTCTCTCTTTCTCTCTCTGTCTCTCTCTCTCTGTACCACCATGCTTGGTTATTTCTGATCCTCCCTACTGTCCACGTTCTTGGAGGAAATCAAAGAATATTAAATGCCCTTTCCTTATTTCAGAATCCAATATAAACTAGAGGAGGTCTATAATTTGGCATCTTGTCTATGCTATCATATATTGTCATGTGTTTTCATTTGATAATTGTGCTATGTTGAATTCTTGTAAAGATTGGAATTATTAACCAGATAGTCTGTAAAAAAGCAGATTGCAATAGTAGTGCACCTAAGGTTAGAAAATAGGAGATGTTTATTTATTGCTTCTGTTTTTGTTTTGTTTACAACCTGACACAAGCTAGAGTTATTTGGGAAGAGGAACCTTAATTGAGAAAATGCCTCCATTGGGTTGCTTGTAGGCAAGTCTATAGGACAATTTTTTGATGTTTGATAAGGGTGAGCCCATTCACATGTGGGCAGTACCACCCCTGGACAGGTGGACCTGAGTGGTATAAGAAAGCATGCTGAAGCCAGGCAGTGGTGGTGTATACTTTTAATCCCAGCACTCGGGAGGCAGAGGCAGGCGGGTCTACAGAGCAAGTTCCAGGATGGCCAGGACTACACTGAGAAACCTGTCTTAACATAAAAATAAAGGAAAAAGAAAATGACTTGTCAGTTTTCTCCTTCCTACTACATGGGTTCTGGGGAATCCAACTCAAGTTGTCAGGCATGTGGGCAAGGGCCCTTATCCACTGAGCTATCGTAACAGCTCCCATGTACAACTGAGAAAGAATGTCCTAATTCCTCAGAGATGACTATGAGAACCAGTGGATTTAGTCACTCAACTAATGACAGTTCTTTTTGTTTTCTTGAATTGGTGTCACTTATATGTGTACTTGGCTAGCCTGCTGGAGCGCTCTATGTAGACCAGACTAGCCTAGAACTCATTACATAGCCGAGCATGACCTCAAACTCTTGAGCTCCCTGCCTCTGCTTTCCAAGTGGTGAGATTACAGATGTGTACCATGAACCTGGTTTATGTGATACCTGATCAAACCCAAGAATTCATGTATACTTGGCAAACATCTTACCAACTGAGCTGTGCCCCCACCCAAGGTCATGTACTTTTTAATAGCGCCAATAAACTATTCCATCTTGAAGACATCCTGGGGTTTAGTTAATAGGGCCTTAGCTTGTTGTACATATTTTCTGTTAATACAGCACTAAATATCTGTGTAAATAAATTGTTCTACAAATTCCTGATTATTTCTTTAGGAACATGATAGAAAATGAGACTGGTTAGACAGTTTATGTATTTTTAAAGTATAGTGAGAAATACTAACACTGCTATATTAAGATAATAATTGTTTAAACAAAAAAAAGGATAATATGAACATTCTGGCTATAAGCCATGCATGGTGGTGTGTGCCTGTAATCATAGCTTCCAGGAGGCTGAGGCAAGAGGAGTTCCAGATCATTCTGGACTATATAGGGGAGACTTTGTTTCAAACAAACAAAAATAACAGCTAAAAGATTGTTCAGTTCCATATGGTTTCTTACCTCTGTCTTCAGGAGACAGTGGAAACTGATCCCCAGAAAGAGTAAATATAACCATTTGAGCTAAGGACTGCTAGGATATTGCAAAGTAACTCTCATGTTCTAATTCTGCAGTTGCAACATTTTTTAAATCACTTTTTAATTAAAATAAGCTATGTTATAGACTAGATTAATCATGTGACTTTGTTATGTTTACATAAAAATAAAATTGTCTAATTATTTTTATTTTCCTTTAGCTACATAAAGAAGATCCCTAGCAGCCATTTCTCAACAATTATATAGTCAACTGATGTAACAATGGTACTAATATTGGGACGCAGACTAAACAGAGAGGATCTTGGGGTGCGTGATTCCCCAGCAACTAAGCGTAAAGTTTTTGAAATGGACCCCAAATCTCTGACAGGTCATGAGTATTTTGACTTCTCTTCAGGATCATCCCATGCTGAAAACATACTTCAGATATTTAACGAGTTCCGAGACAGCCGCTTATTCACGGATGTCATCATCTGTGTGGAAGGAAAGGAGTTTCCTTGTCATCGAGCTGTCCTTTCGGCATGTAGCAGCTACTTCAGAGCCATGTTTTGTAACGACCACAGGGAGAGCCGAGAAATGCTGGTTGAGATCAATGGCATTTTAGCTGAAGCTATGGAATGTTTTTTGCAGTATGTGTATACTGGAAAGGTGAAGATCACAACAGAGAATGTCCAGTACCTGTTTGAAACCTCCAGCCTCTTTCAGATTAGTGTTCTCCGTGATGCATGTGCCAAGTTCTTAGAGGAGCAGCTTGATCCTTGCAATTGCCTAGGAATCCAGCGCTTTGCTGACACCCACTCACTCAAAACACTCTTCACAAAATGCAAGACCTTTGCATTACAGACTTTTGAGGATGTGTCCCAGCATGAAGAATTTCTTGAGCTTGACAAAGATGAACTTATTGATTATATCTGTAGTGATGAACTTGTTATTGGGAAAGAGGAGATGGTGTTTGAGGCTGTCATGCGCTGGGTCTACCGAGCTGTTGATCTGCGTAGGCCACTGTTGCATGAGCTCCTGACACACGTCAGGCTCCCTCTCTTGCATCCCAACTACTTTGTTCAGACAGTTGAGGTGGACCAGTTGATCCAGAATTCCCCTGAGTGTTACCAGTTGCTGCACGAAGCAAGACGGTACCACATACTTGGCAATGAAATGATGTCCCCCAGGACTAGACCGCGCAGGTGAGAAGATGTTGTACAGATACAGCTAACAAAAGTTTTGGTTTTAAAAATCTATTTTAAACTTCTGAGCTTATTTAAATGTTTAGTGTATGTGACTCTTAGGCAGTTGAAGGTCTATTTGGAGGCTTGGAGCTGTAGTTTAGTTTGTAGGGTACGTACCTACATGACTGGGTGTGGAGGCACACACCTGTAATCAATTCACAGAGACCGGTGGATCCAGTATTCAGGTGATCTTCAGGTATGGTATGTAAGTAAAACCTACTTTCAGATCTGTGCTTAATGGCAGTCTCAATTTTCAATGCTTTTTTTTATTTTTTGATGTTTCTGTTTTTGAGAGCTCACATTATGGAGCCCAGGCTGGACTTATACCATCTGTGTAGACTGACATTGAACTCCTGATCCTCCTTCTGCCTCCAAGTGCTAGGATTACTGGCATATGTCCCATGCTCAGCTCAGGAGCTTTGTCTGACTTTGCAAATTACATACACATTAAAGAATAATTAGTAAGCTTATGTTTGGAGTGAAATGTGACCATTAGTATTATATATGGTTTTGTGGGGGAGGGGTTTCAAGACAGGGTTTCTCTGTGGTTTTGGTGGCTGTCCTGGAACTAGCTCTTGTAGACTCACAGAGATCCGCTTGTTTCTGCCTCCCAAGGGCTGGGACTAACTAAAGGCGTGTGCCTTTATTTTTATAGGCTTTTAAGTACTCTTGCCCCACAGAGCAAGTGTTCTTATCTGCTAAGCCACTCCCTGGCCATTTTCTATCTGACTTTTAAGGGAGCCAACTCACTTCCTACAGTGAAAAGTCTATGTCAGGTTGCAGTATCAACCTGTTTGGAAACCAGTAGAATTCTGCTAAAGATGAGGCTATTGTTGATAGGGTATCGGGTACTTATCCTGCATAGGCTTTCCTTTATCCTTGATGCTTTCTTTACAAGTTGGCTATCAACCCCTGGTCTTGCCTGTTATTGTATTGTATTGTTTCTTTAATTACCAGAAACTATCTGAACATTACCTATTATTTTGTATAGATTTTTATCCTTTCCATTCTCCACTACTTAACTCCAGTCCCCTCCTCTGACTCTGTCTTAAGTCACAACTGAAACTCCTCTAATCAAGTCATGGGTGACCTTGTTTTGTCTGCTAGTCTCCTTTCAGTCTCTTCAGAATATTGTGTTGATTCTGGTGCTGGGAACAGAGTTCTTGGCCATGTAGTATGCCTTGGTGAGTGCTCTACACTGAGCCACACCCTCAGACCTAGGAGCTGGCATTAACTGCCATATCTGCCTGAAACTCTAGTGGCTTCTGGAATACCATTGACAGACCTCCTGAGCTGCCTGTTCAGCAGGTGTTCTTTCCAGTTGATGGTCCTAATTCCTGTGTCTGCTTTGTAGTGTTACCTGTTCAGTTTGCATCATTTTCTCTCCCTCACATACTTTCCTGGGTGACTTCATACCCTGAGCTGCATACTGCCAGCTCTGACCCTGAATCATTAGCACATATTTCCTTACTTACTCATTCATGTTTCTTTTAAATTTTTTAATAATTTTTACCTAGCTCCTTTTTTGCTGTACATGATTTATATAATTAATATATATATGTACATATATATATATTAATTGATTGTATCTTTTAAAATTGCATAAGCAAAATAATTTTACAGTTAAAGGTAATAGTTCATATTGGCTAAAATCCAATCCATATTTAAATTGCCTTTTAATATATCTGGATTCAGAATCGCCCATTATACCTGGCTATTTCTAAAAAGTCTCTTGTATTCCAAAACTGCTTTTTCATGTTTCTGACTTAAAAGACATATTTCTGTAGCCCACTTTCTAGATTCTTCTAGCTATTTCCTTATGACCTCCTTTAGATGTATTTAGCTATGTATATTTTCTAGAAAGTGCTAAACTGGCTGTACACACTTCATCTTGAAAGATAGTTAAATATTTGAGACTAGAATTCATCCTGTGTGGTTTGTACATTACATTGCTTATTAAAAAGGTTTCATGCATATTATCATGTTGTTTTCCCATCTATCATTCCATAATAATAGGAAACTCTTAGTACTAGGAACTGCTATGTGTACCATAACCCACATTGATTCATTTAAGTTTCAGAATAGCAATGAGTTAGTATTATTAGACACATTTTAGAGACCCCAAACTCAGATTCAGAGAAGTAACTTGTTTAAGATCACAGTTTAGTCAGTGACTTCTACTGGTACACATTCTGCCTCCTTAGTAACATTTGAATTTGAATATTTTAAGGATATTTCATAAAAAATGATACTGTACTTTATAAGACTTTATTGAATACTCTTGTTTGTTTTTGAGACATGGTCTCATATATCCCAGGCTGCCCTCCAACCCTCTAACATGGCTGAAGATGACCTCGCTTTCAATTACTCAGGACTGAGATTTAGACCTGGGCCACTACACCAGCTCTTTCTATTGCTTCCATTCAGTGCCCATAGCATTCCTAGTTTCCTCTTTTCCCTAAGTACTCAATGCAGATAGGAAGCTTGTTTCCAAGATAAAAGGGTTTGTTTTGGGGGGTTTTGGGTTTTTTGTTTGTTGTTTTATATTGCTGTATTATGAGGGTTGAAGCTCTGAGCCACTTCTCCAGCTCCTCCAAGAGGCAAATTTAACATTAGTGCAGAAAACACATTAAGACCTGAATAAGGATGCATATGTGTAAGTGTAACCCTATTCTCAGGTGGCTGAGACAGGAGGATTGCTCTAATTTTGAGACCAGCCGGAACTATATAAATGAGTATCAGGCCAGCTAGTAGTACATAGCAAGACCTGTCTGAGACAAAAGGGAAAAGGGCAGGGGCACCATACAAGTTTGGGGTTGAAATAATTTTTTAAAAAATATTTTTGGTTGTTGGTTTGGTTTTTTTTTTTTCTTTTGTGTGCAAACCATGGCACACAGACAATAACCTGTGGAGTAACTTCTCTCCTTCTGCTATGCAGGTCCCAGGGGTCAAACTCGGGTCATCAAGCTTTTGACAGCCTTGAAATACTTTTTTCCTCTAGCTTTTGTTGTTGTTGTTGTTGTTTTCTGAGACATAGTCTCCTGTCGCCTCTATGGTTTTGAACTTGCTATAAATAAAGCCAGAGCTGGCCTTGAACCCCTGCTTCTCCCATTTCTGCTGTCCTGTACTGCGCACACTATACCCTGCATGAGGATACCTTTGGAATTCTGTGAAGAATCATCTAGTCATCAACTTGAACAATTCAGGACTCATCTAGTAAATCTGTGCCATCCTTGTATGCTAAGTGCTGCTTCAAAGCCTTTCACCTGGAGAGCTCTCGCCTTTGTCTCAGTCCATAAATTTGGTGGTTCTGCCATATCATATCCTTGGGGTTTTGTTGTTGCTTTTTTTTTTCTTTGCAGTCTAACTGGGATCTCCATTGCACTTCATTTCGATTTCTTTTTAAAGTGTGTGTGTGTGTGTGTGTTTCGTGTGTTATGTGGGGGAACATTGGCACGCTTGTGGAGGTCAGAGAACAAGTGTGTGAGTTAATTCTCTCCTTCCACATTTATGGGAGTTCCAAGGTTCAAACTCAGGTTGTCAGGCTGTATATGGCAAGTGCTTCACCCACTTTCCTGAAACTCTCTCTGTAGACCAGCCTGGCCCATCACACACACACACACACACACACACACACACACACTCTCTCTCTCTCTCTCTCTCTCTCTCTCTCTCTCTCTCTCTCTCTCTCTCTCTCTCAAACTATTGACTGTCAGGGAGTGTGGGTGTGAGGTTTTCATGGAGCTCCAGTTCCACTATGCCTACCATAGTGATTATCTGGAATTTCCCCTGGTGGGTGCTGATTCTCTGTTTTGGTAGCACTAGGCTGCTACAAAATGAGGTTTCCGAGTAGTAGCATGGATGACGTTGAATTGGACAAGTGTTGCTGATGTGATAGCCATATATGGCAAATTGCTTATATTTCAGGGCAGGGGTGAGCAGTAGGAATAGCTAAGACTTCGAAAGTTAATTATTTTGAGGTTAAACTCAGCAGTTAATTATATACTTGGATCCTGACTTCTAACATTTATGTGTGCTCATTTTTGTGGGAGTAAGTACAAGTATGGGTCATGAAACTAAAGGTGGAACTGTGGGGGAGAACAGGAGGTTTTAAGTAAGGGAGGGGGTTGGAAAGAGTAGTAGAGGACATGAGTGTCGAAGGGGACTTCTGGGGGAGGAGAGGTGTGAGGACCAAACAAAACAAACCTTTTGCTTTGTATGCTGATTTATTCTTTGTATATGGATGATTTGCCTGCATGCATGTCTGGGTGCAGTTCCCTCAAAGGACAGATGAGGGCATCAGATCCCCCCTCCTGGAGTTACAGACAGTTGTGAGGTCCATGTGGGTGCTAGGAATCCAACCCAGGTCCTCTGGATGAGCAGCAAGTGCTCTTAGTTGGTGAGCTGTCTCTCTAGCCCCTAATTTTTAACTTTTTATTTTATGTATATGAGTGTTTTGCCTGCATGTATGTAAGTGTACATGTGTATGCCTGGTACCTGCAGAGGTCTGAAGAGGGCACTTGATCCCCTAGAACTGAAGTCACAGATGGTTGTGAGCTGATGTATGGGTGCTAGAACCAAACTCGGGTCCCCTGGAAGAACAGCTAATGATCTTAATCAAAGGAACCTTTCCCCAGTTCCTGTTTTTTTGTAAAGAAAATCAGTTACTTATCTTAATATTCTCTACCTACCGCTTTTGTTAATGAGACAGGGTCTCATTGTGTAGCACAGGCTATCCTTGAACTCTCAAAGATCTACCTGCCTGTCTCACTTCCCAATTATTGGGATTAAAGGTGTGTGCCCTCTTACAGTTACTTTATGATGAATATGGGAACCTAAGTACTATAATAAGGACAAAGCTTAAGTTCCCAGGAATAAGGAAGTCATGAATATATTTTTTTTTCCTTAAGAAACAGGATTTTATTATTGGGCATTCTATAGTCTCCTCTACTTCCCTC